CCACAAATGATGTAATGTTTAACATTGTTCTTATAGGGAAGAAATCCAACATGGCTTCTACTACGGAAGACTCTTAAGCAGTGCCGGATTTACCACTAGGCCGATTAGGCCGCGGCCTAGGGCCGCAAGCAGAAGGGGGCCGCAGAGGATTGGGAAAAACATTTTTTAGATAAAATTAATAACAAATAATTTATTTTAAACCACCAGTTTGCCGCGATCACAGGTGACCATAATGATGTCTCCGCGGACGGAGGGAGATGTTCACGATTTTGCCGCGGCCTCGGGTGCCTGTGATGATGTCCCGTGATTGCGGCCCGCAGGAGACGTTCACGAATTAGATGCTGTATCGAGTTGTCAATGATGATGTCCCCGTGATTGCGGCCCGTGTGCGGGAGATGTTCACGGTTTCGCCGCGGTCACAAGTGTCGATGATAATGTCCCCGTGATTGCGGTCCGCGGCAGATGTTCATGATTTCACCGCGGCTGTGAGTGTTGATGATGCATCCCCGTGATTGCGGCCCACGGGAGATGTTTTTTTTTTCATTCTTTATTTTGTATTTCATTAAGAATAATACAATGGCGTCATGTTAACGATTTCGCCGCGGCTGGGGGTGTCAATGTGGATGTCTCCGTGGTGGCTTACCGAGGATGTTTACGATTTCGGCACGGCCGTGGGTGACAATGATGAAGTCCTCATGATCACAGTCCACGGGAGATGTTTTTAACACGACTTTGCCGCGATCGCAAGTCTCGATGATGATGTTCCCATGATTGCGGCCCGCGGCAGATGTTCATGATTTCACCGCGGCTGTGAGTGTTGATGATGATGTCCCTGTGATCGCGGTTCACGGGAGTTGTTAACGATTTCGCCGCGGCTCGGGGTGTCAATGAGGACGTTCCCGTGATGGCTTCCCGAGCCATGCAATAGCATAGCAACGCTGGTGGCGCTGCCTACGGATTGACAGGCAAAGCTCTCTCAAACCGCTTAATGCTTTTTACCATGCGGTTGGCATTCTGGGTTATAGTAGTACGTTTTCTGTGCAATGATGAAGTCGTCATGATCGCAGTCGACGGGAGAGGTTTTTTTTAACATGACTTTGCCGCGATCGCAAGTTTCAATTATGATGTCCCCGTGATTGCGGCCCGCGGGAGATGTTCACGATTTTACTGCGGTCCCGGATAACTATGATGGCTTTGACTTGGTTTAGGAGAGATGTCCACGATTTCATCCAGGATCACGGGTGTCGATGATGATGTCCCCTTGATGTATAGGAGATAGTCACTATTACTTCCGCGATCGCAAGGAATTTTCACCACAGGGAGAGGGCCGCTCAAGTAATTTGGCCTAGGGCCGCAAGTACCCTAAATCCGGCACTGCTCTTAAGGGGCACCAAAGACTAAAGACAGATTATATATGGTAGCCTACATGGAATTGTCTTCGTTCATTCTCATACGCGACTTCGGAGCGTACTCCTAGTAATAAATATAACTATAAAACAGTCCACAGATAATCACAGACATTTTTAGTTATACTATACATTGTCATTAACATGAAGGAAAATTTATGTCATAAGGATTAATACTAATCAAAAGGTGCTTAACGTTCCTCTTAAAACAGTTAAATTCTAAACATTTATAATGAGAGGGTAGAGAATTATACAGTTTTTTTCCCATTTCAACAAAACAATTCAGAGTAATTTTTAAATTACACTGGGAAATTCTAAGTGAGTTACAGTTTCTAGTGAAATAGTTATGGTCATTTTTATTTGTAGGTATAGTATGTAAATTTATTTTAATAAACAACAGACATTCAAAAATATACATTGCAGGTACAGTGAGTATATTGAATTTTCTAAACAATGGCTTACTGTGAGTCCTCATGTCAACATTTGCTATGACTTAAATAGCACGCTTTTGTTCAATTAGCAATTCCTTAACATTGGTGTCATTACCCCATACAATAATTCCATATGATATATAGCTATGAAGGTAGGCATAGTAAACTGTAATGAAAATATCCGTTGACACAAACGATCTTAGCCTAATCAACATAAAAGTTCCTTTAGATAATTTACTGCATAACATTACGATATGTTTATCCCATTTTACATTGCTTTGAAGAAGAATTCCTAAAAACTTAACAGAATTAATAATCTCATGAGCATATGGCCTCAAACAAAATTCCAAATTTTGAGTTTTCTGTTCAGACAAAGTGAATTTGCAGCTGACCAGTCCTTAACAGTATCATTAACCTTGATTAGAACATTTTTTGCAAATAAGACATCATTACATTGAATTTGAACAGCCAAATCATCAGCAAACAAAAAAGATTTAACATGGTCATTATTAACAGCAACAGATAGGTCATTCACATTTATAATAAAAAAGACAGGACCCATAATTGAGCCCTGTGGGACACCAGTTCTTACATCTAAATAATGGGGAAAACAGCCATTATAATACACTGCTTGTAGTCTCTCGGTAAAGTAAGATTTCACAAAAATCAATGGCTAAGTCGTCAAAACCGTAAAATTTAAGTTTGTGCAACAAAACAACATGTGAGATAGTGTCAAAAGCTTTTGTCATATCATAGAAGCTACCAAACACAGTGTTCTTACCATCCAGCCCATAGATACATCTTTTAACAAATTCAGAGATGGCCATATTGGTACCTCTTTTAGGCCTAAAGCCATATTGACAGTCAGTAAATAGAAAGTTATTTTCAAAGTGTGATACAATTTGGCTATTTAGAATTATCTCAAAAACCTTGGATATGACAGGTATAATCGACACAGGTCGATAATTGTTATAATCAGACATGGAACCTTTTTTATGGAGAGGTATGACTTTAACTAGTTTTAAACAATGAGGAAAAACACCAGATTCAATACAAGTATTAAATAAATAGGCCAAAACTTCAGACACATAGGGCGCAAAAACTAGAATTAAGGTAATACGCATCAAGACTCTTACTACAACTCAAAGAGTTAATAGCATTATAAACCTGCTCAACACTAATACATTTGCGACGATGAGTAAACGAACCAAAAGAAGAAATAGTTATTTCAATGAAGAAGATAAGTATGAAACTAAAGAAGACGCATTACAATCAAAGATAGAGAAGTTCAAATGTCAAAGCTATGATGAGTGTAGTAGGTGGGATGATTATGAAGCACATTTTCTATTGTTATGCAAGGTAAAAGGATTGGGAGAAGATTCTCAGAGAGCAGAGGATGCTCGAAGGGATCCTTTGCTTGCCTATGTGGGCCCTGCACCATTAAGAAAAGTTTCAAACTTTCTGCTGCCTTTAAAAGTACATCAGGCTACGTGGGCAGAACTAGTTAATGGGTTCAGGTCAGTATACAAAGCTAAAACTATATTTTCAGCTAGAATGGAATTTGAAAAAAGTATCAGAGAAAATAGTGAAAGCCTTTCAGAATTTGTAATACGTTTGAAAAATTTTGCAAAACTAATACCGTTATCATCATAGGCTACTACTACATGATGTTTTTAGAACAGAAGAATGTGGATAAAAACATTAAACAACTCATTAAACAGCATAAAATCATAGTACTCAAGTCTTTAAGGTAATAAAAACAGTTGTAAAAAAAGATAAAGATAACAACTATGTTCTTCTATTCTTTCTTTGGTTTCTCTTCATCCACAAGTTCTCATGGTTACTAATCACCCAACCACAAACTGTTGTAGTGTTGTGACATAGCAGACAGATGTGTAAGGAGCAGACGATTGTCAGTCTGTCAGTGTCAGTGCAAGATTGTCAGTCTGTCAGTGTCAGTGCAAGATTGTCAGTCTGTCAATGCAAGCAGCTTTAACACCTTGAAGCTATTGATATATTGCTCTGTCTTGCTTCCATTTTGTTTTTGTCAAATGAACTGTGATGTTTCAAACACAATAATGGGGGAACCTTCTGCATATAAAAATGGCCAGAAATAGTTAAATCTATAGTCAATTTCTAAATATTAGACTGAAAAAAACACAATTTATAAATTTTTTGGGGATTTTTGAGGTTATGTAACTTAAATTTAAGATGCAACTATTGTCACAATTGACCTCCCCCAAATCAAGGTTCTCCTGTACACGTACACTACTGTTGCAACAATATCCTACAAAATATTAACTTAAATTATAAGATAAAGTAGGCACTGATGAAAATCTGTATAAACGTGTAAACCTACATTTATTCGAACTAGTTCGCGAACCAGCATGATCCGACTATGGGAACGGGGTTTTATAGGGGTAAAAATGGGTTTTTCCATTTTTGACCCAAAAAACAAAAAAATTTGCAATTTCTTACTAAACCATTTTGTAGAGCTTAAAAAAAGAAATAATTTAGTATCCTGAAGCGCTGTTGTATGCCTAACGGTTACGGAGAAAATTAAAAAAAGTGTAATTTAAAATTCCCATGTTATTCTTATGGAGAAAATGAAAATTGTTGTAGCTTACTTGTTTATGGATATATGTTGATAAAATTTGGCAAATTTATTTATTTCATCCTATGCTATTGACGTATAGTCAAAAAACACTTTTTACCTTCCCCAGCAAACCTAAGCACTCGTTAAATCTAATCACATACTCTAATATGAGCAATGTTTGCTCTGCAAGCCCTTTTCGCGGCGCTGTTCAATGGGGCAACATAGCTACTGAAGCCTGAGCTGAGGTAGGGCGGACCCTTAACATGATCTTTGTGCCTATAGTTTTACACCTTCAGGAGATGTAACTATAATGTTTAAATAATATTGTTAGGTTCTTGTTTACAATAATGTTGAACTGCTTAACATGTTCTTTGTTCCTGAAGTTCTACACCTTCAGGAGATTAACTATAATGTAACTTATGTAAATTGTATAGGTGTTGTTAGTCAAATTTTAATTGTTTAGTTTGTAAAACTTCAAAAACTGGAATTTGTGTAAAATTGAGATTTAAATCCCATATTTGATAAATCACTAAACCTTTAAAACACATCTTTCAAAATTATACTTACAGGAACAACAGAGTCACTTCTCGGGCAAATACCAATTTGCGTACACAATTTTTTTCCATCGAGCTCCTCAGTCAAGAAGGAATAAGCAACTGGGTAGTATGTTTCCACTAAACTGACACACTGAAACAAAGGAACACAGTGTTTTGGGTGAAAGATATTCTCAATTCCTAAACTTTATGAAAACCTTTCTTTGGGGTATTGAAAATTGAAACTCGGAAATGTTTGTAAAACTCAGTGGGTTAAGGGGATCCAGGCTTCAGACATAAATTTTTTAGGTTTATTAGTTTTTAATAGTGATGTGTTGGTTCCAAAAGACGGTTCTCGAATTCAACAGTTCTTGGTGAAATAACCGGGACTGAGAACCGTTGGAAAATTGTTGGTTCTCAGGTCCAACCGTTACATCACTTTACATATTTTTTAGTTTTTATAAAGATTTGTTGTATATTGTTGTTTAAATGTTAATTATCACCCTCTAATACCATATAATAGTAAAATATATAACTCAAAAATGCTGTTGTTATTCAATTCAATTCAAATTCTCTTTATTCATTTGCAGTACAAATTTTTATACAATGAATAGTGTCAAATAAATATAAAGATGAATTATGCCTTACTTATAGCTAAAACAATCATTATCTTTATAAAACAAATGCTAAGCCTAAGAAGAATAAACAAAACAAAATTAAATGAAATCATCTTTCTAAACTAAACTGTCAATAAGTGATGATTAATAATATAGACCTTCTCACAGGGTGTCTAGTTTATATCCACTTTAAAATTCCAGACTAATTTCCAGACTTTTCAAGACTAATTCCAGATTTTTTAAGACTAGTTTTTTTTCAACAAATAGTGAGTGTCAAAACCAAAATGTACCAATTCTCGTTTCTTGATAATGACAACAATTTTTACTTATAGTTTAACCAAATTTTCTGAATAATTTGGTTGTAATGCACACAACCTATAAAGTATTATTAAGATAATGGTTTTAAAGTAAAGACAAAATGCAGAAATGAAAAATTCTAACCAGCAAATAAGGGTTTTTGAAATCTTCAGCGGACGTTTATTTCCTTCCCTATTATTGGTACAGGATTTTTCCTGTCCAAAAAAGAGTTTGATTTAAGTCTTGAATATTGCGGTTACCAAAAAAGACAAACAAATTCAATTTTTACCGTTTTTTGCCGTTTGTGGCACTGATCTCTAAAAACCAATAATGGGTAAAACTTTACAGGTAGAAAAAATGTTGTGACTAAATAACGTCATATCAGGTGTAATTTTACTGTAAAACATTAGTCTCATTATAAAATCCTTGCAGTTATTGAAACAGACTATCACTCACTGCATTTCAAAAATTGTGTAGAGTTTTAAGGCCAGAATTGGTAATTAGTAGAAAAGCAGTTTAGCTTAAAAAATCCTAAATTTTTGATATGCAAAGAGCAATATTGCTACCAAGCACAATATTGTGACAATATTGGTCCCAGCGCAATGGTCGAAATGACTCGTGGTCACAACGCGATTGTGATCGCTGAAATGACTTGCGGTCACCGCACGATCGTGAAAATGACTCGCGGTCACGGCGCATTCGTCGAAATGACTTCACCTCCTGCGTTCCCGAAACTATCGTAAACATCTCTCGCTATATCCGCGTCATCTTCACTCGCAAAGTGGCAAAATTGCTGACGATCGGATAAAATCCCGTCCCGAAAAATTTCCAAGTAAAATTTAATCCTGTCCTGAAAATCGGGAAATTTTTTTCCCAAAAATTTCCTATAATTTTGGGATCCGTCTAACCCTATTCTGCAGTGTCAGCTCAACAAGGGATGGGTCGATTCAGATTCTCGATACCGTGATACCTTCTATACCAGTGGTACCGAAGAATCGCCGATACTTAATACTTTGCTTGTATTGTACTCGATACCGATTCTGAAAAGTGAGGTTAATTGTGATGCTAAACTCAACTGAAGTTGAAGGTTGTAATGAGTGGTACATAATTAGTCAACATTAGCAGGTTTGAGCAAACACTAATGTTCTAACTAAACGTATGAATTAAAAACTAGGGGAAGAATATGGTTGTAATTATAGGAATAGATCATTTTGGAACTGACAAATTTATTGGTGGACCAGTATCGCAGGGAACTGTGAATGTTGTTGAAAAAAAAAACTAATCAGATTGCTACATAACTTATTTTTTTATTCAGAAACAACCAAAAAAACATTTCTTAAATTTAAAAAAATTTTAATTTTGGCCAATTTTTTACTTTCTGAATCCTGGATCCCCTTAACATTCATGGTTGGTGAACACACTAACCTCCTTTTTATAGGCTTTAGTCTGTCCACAGATTCCCAGAAGGACTTGCTCAAACTCCTTCTCAGTCGTGTTGGCAATGAGAATGTCTCGCAAGTGCTGTACCAGCTGTTCACAGAACTCACAAGTCAAATCCTCATTCAGCTTGGTCACTGGCTGGATCTCCACTTGCTGCCAAACACACAAATCTTAATTTTTCTTTGGTATTATAGTAGAGAGTACCTAATGATTATGGTTCAAATCCACATTAGCAACTATTGAGGCCAAAATTTTCTGACATATAACACTGATGCTGTTAGTCTAATTGGCATCATGCACACTTTTTAAGAACACGTATAAACCTAGTTAAATTAAAGAGATGAAAACCACTTCATATTTTTACACAACCCTTTTTGGATTGAAAAATTCCCAATTATTAATACAATAAACGTATACACTAAAATAATTTCACTTATATGAATTTGCAGAATCCCTTCAATATGAAATCTATATATTAATTATATCGTTTATATTCATCAATCTGTCTCCTCAGTTTTTTGTGAATGTTTTATTGAAGGTTGTGACACTGTACTAATTTCTTGTAGTTTATCAAGAGTTAATTTTTATATTCTAGGCTTATACCGTTGGCATTCATCTAACTCAAGGGATGTTATTCAGGAGCTATCTCAAACGTTATCTAGTATAAAATGCCATGATATTATATGCTTGGGCAATTTTAATATAAATGTCAAGCTGGATAATTTTGAAGCCGATTTTTATCTAGACAGTGTTTCAAACCTGGGTTTTGAACAATTAATTGATATTGATACACGGGTTCAAGCTAATTCTTCTTCACTTATAGATCACATATTATTTAGGTCCAGATTATACAATGCAACCAAAATATCTGTAATAGAATCAAATATAACTGATCATCGCACAATAGCTTGTCTAGTTAATTATGATTTATGTATTAAATATGTGAATAATATTTCAAGCTTTTATGTAGATATTATAATGAATTAAAAACTAAAATTGTTAAAACTACTTGGAATGATGTGTTTGAAACATTAGATGTTAATTATGCTTATGATCTGTTTTATGCCAAACTTTTAACTTTGATTGATAGCTGTACAATTTCTCGAATTAAGCATTTAAAAAATAAAAAAAATTCTAAAATCTTGGATGAATGCAGGTTTGCTCAAGGCTTTTACTGTTAGAGATAAATTATACAAGTTACACAAAAAATATCCATCCCCAAAAAATATAGATAAATTTGTTAGTTATCAGAACAAAATAAGAGATTGGATTAAGGTTGCTAAGTTTACATATTACAGTAAATTGTTTCAAGATAATTTTAAGGATAGTAGGAAGCAATGGCGAATAATAAACAGTATTATAAAAGGTCAAGGTTCAAAACATTCTGATATATTGCTTAAGAAGGAGGGTTCTCTTATTAGTAGTGATAGAGATGTAGCCAATATTTTTAATGAATATTTCATTCAAGTTCCTGAAAAAGTTGCTGCCTCATGTCAAGATCCCTCTCCTTAGTGTCAGTTAGTCTATTCCCAATTTTTTAAGACAGTGAATAGCTTAAATTCCATGCTTTTTAGTCCCATCACTGAGCATGAAGTTGCAAAATTAATTAGTACTCTTTCCCCTCACAAAAGTACAGGTGATGAGTTCCTTTCTGCAGCTATTATTCGAAATATATGTGACGAGATCACTCCAGTTTTAACAGAATTGTTCAATTTAAGTATTGCTAGCGGTTGTTTCCCTGACATCTTAAAAATTGCCACAGTAGTTCCCATATTTAAGAAAGGATATAAGTGTAACGAAGAGAACTACCGTCCAATATCACTGCTTCCTGTGCTTTCAAAATTACTAGAAAAATTAGTTAAAAATAGACTCACTGGATTTTTAGATAACAATAGATTTTTTTCGCCAAATCAGTTTGGTTTTGGAGAAGGCCTTAGTACTGAGTTAGCACTTCAACACTTTTTGACAAATATTTACGGAAACTTAAATAGCATAACTCATAATAAAACAGCTGGTTTGTTCTTAGATATTAGCCTAGTAAGGTATTTGATACTATCGATTATGTTTTGCTCTTGAAAAAACTTGAATCAGCAGGGATAAGAGGTGTACCACTTTCATGGTTTAGGTCATATCTTTCTGGGAGGAGGCAGTTAGTTAAAATTAAGAAGAGCAAAAGTAGTATCCAAAGTACAGTATTAACTTCGGTGTTCCCCAAGGATCAGTCCTTGGTCCTATTTTATTTTTAATTTTTGTCAACGACTTGTGCAGTGGTCTTTTGAATGGGCGCCTAACAGCGTTTGCTGATGATACAGCATTGTCATACTGTGCAAGCACTTTAGATGAGCCACATAATGCAGGATGATCTTCATAAAATATCACTTTGGTTCAGTTGCAACAAACTTCGTTTAAATGTTTCTAAAACAATCTTTATTAATTTTTCTTTATCCCAGTCAAATGTTTTTAATGTACCTTTAATTTCCCATAAAACAGATTGTAATAAAACTAGTTGCTTATGTGATTCTATAAAACAATGTAATGTTACCAAATATCTAGGTGTACTTTTGGATAAAAATCTATCATGGAAGATGCATGTAAATAATTTAAAGAATTCATTACGTTACTCACTTAGATATTTTTTTCACCTCAAATATTGCTGTCCTCTTCCCATCTTAAAACAGGTTTACCACTCTTTAATAAATTCTAAACTTGAATATGGAATTTCTTTGTATGGAGGTGCCTATGTGTCAAATTTAAAATCTTTAATAACTTTACAGAAGAAATTTGTCAGATTAATATGTAATGTAAATTTTTATTCTCATTCTCTACCTTTATTTGTAAGTCATAATATCCTTCCCTTCAGATATTTATATATTTTTAAAGTATTGACTATATTTTTCAAATTAAGTGGTAATGCAGGACCAACAGTTGATAACATTCACAATTATTTAACCAGACAAACTGCACATAACATTCTACGTTTACCCAAACCAAACTGTACCCTGTTTAAGAAGTGTTTTATTTATTTATCAATTAAAATTTTTAATGTCATTCCTGTTTTAAAGCAGAGTAGGTCATTTAGTGTTTTTAAGAAAACTTTGAAATAGTGGCTTTTAACCAAGTCATATGATGAAATAGAACAGTTGTATTCTTAATAATATTGGTAAGTAATGTCTAGCTCTAAGTATTTACTTTATCTTTGTGAGTATCTGTATTTCAGAGTCTGGGTTTTCATTGTTTCCTTCAATTTCTTAAAATGTTCTCATTATTATAGTTACATACTTTTCGTTTTACTTCCTAGATATTGGTGAATTTTGTTTTCTTTGTTGTCTTTTCCACAAAAGTTATTGGACTAAAGGTAAATTTAAATTATAATTCATTTTGTTACCCTTTTCAGAGAAATTTTTGTTATTGTTAAGTATTAGTTGAGACTCCCGCCCACACACAGAAGTTTTAATCTTCTTTGGGTGTGTATATTTCTACGCAAGTTAAAGTAAACTTTTATTTAATTAATTAACAATAAGATTTGATTACATTGTAAAATAATTTGTTTTTATAGATCTTTGTAATTTTATTGTGTTACTTGTGGAGAAATAAAGATTTATTATTATTATTATTATTATTATTATTACGTAAGTCAATTCTTTGTGTCAAAATTGTGGGCGACTGAGAAGTCGTAGAACGACGGGAGAGGGCTCAAATCAAAGGTCTCGATCGGCCCCGTGACAGCGGGAAAAATAGTGAAATTCCCAAAATGTTAACACAAAATTAGATATAACGTAAAATTGTCTCCATAACAATAGCATTAAAAGCCATTTACTACTGTTTTTTGTTTACACCAATACAGCTTATAACGGGTCCAATAAATAATTAAATAGATAATAATAAATAGTAATAATTGAGTATAAACAAATGATTAATTATCGGATCGGTACAGTAATTAAACAAATTATCAATATTAAATTCAATAATACTCTTCAGTTAGGTAACATGGATAAATTAGAGTCAAATGGTAAAAAAAAGATTAATTGTAATATGTTCTAAGATGGCAAGATGAGAGCCCTGTTTGTCGTTGACGAAGACGAAGGGCGGGACTAGACACAAATTGGTATTCTGTGCATCCAGTTGGAGTGGGTTAAGAACTACTGTAACATTTTTAAGCTCAAAAACAGAAATTTTCTATTTTCATGGTGTTGGCAGTTCTTAGTTGAGCAACCGACGCACACGCTTGATGATGAAGCAAGGCTTCTACACTTCTTTACTAGGCTTTATACAGTAAACATCTAAATTAACACCCTTACCAAAAATCACTTTTATATAGTCAACCAGTTACCATGTTGATGTTAATACACACAGTTTAATCGGGTTACATAAAGTCAGAAGTTTTATTTTTTCGTGAAGATAGTCGTGGGTCTATGCATTTTTTTCAAGTAACTAAAACGCTCGAGGAGAAGATCGTCTAGGAGGATGACGCCATCACACCTGCATCGGACGGCACACCAACCTAGACTTGGACCTCGGACCTATCTACAGGCTGTGAAGTGAACATCTCATTTCAGCTCTAACCCTAAGCTAAGTGTTTATGCTTAAACTTAGTGGTTATGGCTACTTAAGTTAATACTATCCAGTCCTAGAGATCTACCTATAGCCTAAAATAAATGTATTTCCTGCAATGTAAATCAACTTAACTTCACTTTTAACAACCAAACTCTAAGGATTGATTTTCTTTTGTATAACTTATTCTGAAATGTAAATTTAAAACACCTGCCCTAGTCTAAATTAATAAAACAATGTTTTTGTGTTCTGAGAATTCTTCTTTGTTTATTGAAATGACATAAGCCCCACCAAACCACACAATTAACCTGAGATAAGAGGAAGGCTCTACTAGCAAATTAAGTAAACTAAACAAGTTATGTAACTAGTGTGATTGACTTTGTGTGTAGGCCTAACACTAGTCAACAATTAATATAAAGAAAAAAAGCGTAGCATTACAAGCTGATCGTGATTTTCATTAAGCCAGTAAGCAATATTACATTTGGATTACTCATTTGCCAGTCAATTCTGCAATGTACTGTATACTATATAAAATCAGGGATAATGGCACCATAACCAGTCGCAAAATAGTTAGTAATCAGGCGTTGATTAGGCCCTTTTTT